ATCTCTAATTTTCTTGAAGAGATCTCTAGTCTTTCCCATTCTATTGTTTTCCTCTATTCCTTTGCACTGATCACTGAGGAAGGCTTTCTTATCTGTCCTTGCTATTCTTTGTAACTCTGCATTCAAATGGGTATATCTTTCCTTTTCTCCTTTACTTTTCACTTCTCTTCTTTTCATAGCTATTTGTAAGGCCTCCTCAGACAGATGTTTTGCTTTTTTGCATTTCTTTTTCTTGGGGATGGTCTTGATCCCTGTCTCCTGTACAATGTCAGGAACCTCTGTCCATAGTTCATCAGGCATCCTTTCTATCAGATCTAATCCCTTGAATCTATTTCTCACTTCCACTGTATAATTGTAAGGGATTTGATTTAGGTCATGCCCGAATAGTCTAGTGGTTTTCCCTACTTTCTTCAATTTAAACCTGAATTTGGCAATAAGGAGTTCATGATCTGAGCCACAGTCAGCTCCTGGTCTTGTTTTTGCTGACTGTATAGAGCTTCTCCATCTTTGGCCATTAAGAATATAATCAATCTGATTTTGGTATTGACCATCTGGTGATGTCCACATGTGAAGTCTTCTTTTGTATTGTTGGAAGAATGTGTTTGCTATGACCATTGTGTTTTCTTGGCAAAATTCTATTAGCCTTTGCCCTCCTTCATTCTGTACTCCAAGGCAAAATTTTCTTGCTACTCTAGGTGTTTCTTGAGTTCCTACTTTTGAACTCTAGTCCCCTATAATGAAAAGGACATCTTTTTTGGGTGTTAATTCTAGAAGGTCTTGAAGTTCTTCACAGAACCATTAAACTTCAGCTTCTTCAGCATTACTGGTCAGGGCATAGACTTGTATTACTGTGATATTCAGTGGTTCACTTGGAAATAAATAGAGATCATTCTGTCATTTTTGAGAGTGTATCCAAGTACTGCATTTCAGACTCTTTTGTTGACCCTGACGGCTACTCCATTTCTTCTATGGGAATCTTGCCCACAGTGGTAGATATAATGGTTACCTGAGTTAAATTCACCCATTCCAGTCCATTTTAGTTCGCTGATTCCTAAAATGTCAATCACTCCTGTTTGACAACTTCCAATTTGCCTTGATTCATGAACCTAACATTCCAGGTTCCTATGCAATATTGCTCTTTACATCATCAACTTTTATTTCTATCACCAGTCAAATCCACAACTGAGTTTTGTTTTTGCTTTGACTTATCATAGGAACAAAATGCTGGGGTTACACAATATACTGTTAACATTCATGTTAAAGTGGCTAAGTCACATCACTTATCTGCCTGGTTTCTTTATCTTCAGAAACAGGAGGTTAAGCTGGTTATTGTCCAAGTTTCCCCTTAACTCTATCATTAAGTGGTTCCATTTTCCATGAGACTTTGCATTAGTATGAATGGGGAGTGACTGAAGCTAGTCTTTGAGATGATACATGACTTTGGTACTTTGGTAGGATGTATTTCTGATAGTGGGTAATTAATACATATTCACAGAACACGTATGGGATCAACATGACAGTTCTTTAACAATGTGATTGGTTTGACTTCATCCTTCCTTTTGTTGAACTTTTTCAGTACACAAACCATAGGGATCCCAAAGAGTCCAAGTTTCACAAAATGCTTGCTGAATTGTAGTGTCTCCTAGTGAATACACATTTCTGACCCCAGCACCGGCTCCACGGCCCTCAGACAGAATAGCTATTGGCCCCTACTGTGCCAGCACAGGAGACTGCGGTAGATAGAATTAAGAGTCAGACTGTGTCCCTGTGGCAGTACACCCTGCTGTTATGTAGCATGCCCAGCCAGATCTCAGTTGTGCAGAATGTGTTTCAGTACCCCTTCACTTGGCATGGCCGTGTGACATGCTTTGATCAATTGAATGTGGATGGAAGTGACTACATGTGCGTCCCAAACATGGGCCATGAAAAGTCTCACATATTGTCACTTACACCTTTGGTAGCTGTTGTCCTCTGCCATGTCAAAATATGCCTCATCAGTCACTGCCACTCCAGCCTCGGTTCCAGAATGAGACATGTGCTCACAGCCATCCTGTGAACATAAGGAGACATCACTGTTTTGTTTTAAAGTGTTTAGTCCTTGGGTGGCTGCTTAGGTAGCATTTTTGTAGTGATAGCTAATTGAGACAGTGACAACAGGCAATCTTGGACTTAGCACTCCCATCATTGGCCCTCATGGGGATGCTCAAAAGTAGACGAAATGAGAATTACCATCACGTGGTAGAAATCCTCAGTTGTGTGGACAAGGGAATCCAAGATTGGAAGCAGAGGAAGAGAGAACCAAATGGGGGGAGGAGTGTCACTGCTGGCTCTATCTTTTGCTTCCCTGGGATTCTGGCACTTTAGAGGAAGATCAAGATAGGTCCTCTACATTCATAGTCCCAGTAAAGCCTCAAACTGTTCCTGGGAGATCTTGATAAAGTGGTAAGGGAAAACCTTCTTAGGACAGTTCTTAGAAGGTTTAGGTTCCTGGAGAGGCAGTTTGTTGTTAGAGCAACTCAGAGGGTGAAGGAACAGGTAAAGGATTTTCTAGAGAAAAAGGAAAGAGAATTGTAATATTGACTGTAGTGGAGTAGTCTCCCCTTGTTAGCTGTGGACATGATTCAAGACACTTAGTGGATGCTTGAAGCCACAGATAGTACTGTACCATTTTCTCTTCATGTCTTCTACTCACAAATTTAATACCTTTTCCATCTTAACTAAATACTATCATACACTGTGACTGTGATTTTTACAGTTTGAGGTAGAACAGCAAAACTAGCATGAGTTTATTTTCTCTTTTTCTCCATTTCATGGATAGAAGATTTGTTCTTACCATATGTTAGCAACCTCAGCATATGACTTTTTTTACTTACTGAGTTGAAAACTTTCATCTTTTCACTTAAAGGAAGCACTTTATGGTTTTTCTTTGGCATAACCAAATTGCCAGCATCACTACTCTAGTAGTTTGGAGCTGTTATCAAATAAAATAAGTATCACTTGAACCCAAGCACTGACATACTGATACAATCAAGTTATAATAAAAATGGCTGCTAAGTGACTAACAGAAAGGATATGCTGAACAAAGGGACGATTCATGTCCCAGGCATGATGGAGGGGGAGGTGCAAGACTTCATCATGCCACTCAGAAAGATGCACAGTTTAACATTTATGAGTCGTTTATTTCTGGAATTTTCCATTTAATATTTTCAGACTATGGTAGACTATGGGTAACTAAAGCTATGGAAAGTGGAACTGTGGATAAGGGGAGAATACTGTACAGACTACCAACAGACTATCAAGTATATAAAGGCTCAAACGATAGAAATTTATCTTTCATTTATGTAACAGTCCTTTGTGGGTATTCCTGGCCCACAGGTGACTCTCCTCCATGTTGCCATTTATGGAGCCAGGCTCCTTTCATCCTGCAGCTCTGCCACACCTCCAGGCCTTGTGGTTTTCTTCATCCACCTGAATGAGGAGAAAAGGGAAAGTGGAGAATGTACAGCCTGTTTTTTTAAGTCCTAAAGTGACACACATCTCTTTTGCTTACATTCTATTAGTTAGGATTAATTGCAGTTATATGAGGAGGGGCTGGGAAGTGTAGAATATATCCAGGCAGGCACTTTCCAATGACAGTTCCACTCATTGTTAAGGGGAACCTGGATTTTTGTCTCTGCCACAGGGATGCTTTTTCTTTCAACACTTGAATTATTTCACTCCACTCTCTTCTTGCTTTTAAGATTTTCTTTTTGTTTTTCTGTAGTTTTCATAGGATATTTTTAGGTGTAGCTTTTTGATATTTTCCTGCTTGATATTCTCTGAGTTTCCTGGATCTATGGTTTGCTGAGTCATTGATTTAGGGAAATTCATTATTATTACTTAAAATATTTCTTTCATTCCTTTCTCTATTCTCCTCCTGGCATTTTTGTTATGTGTATGCTATACCTGTTGTAATCTTTTATAGTTATTTTTCTCCTGTTTTTTATTTTGCTTTTCAATTTGGGAAATTTCTACTGACATATCTTATCCCTAGCAATTCTTTCTTTAGGATCTGAGCCTTGAAGTTCTTTTAGCTGTAAATCTATGTTATTGTACCATACAGGAGCCTCTTTGATATGGTGAAAACTATTGGGGGAGGATAAGCATTTCACAATCTATAATCATGTCTCCTTTGTTCCTGAGCTATGACCTTCACAGGTACTTCTCAGTTTTCTTCTCCTTCCTCCTTAACTGAGATAGGAAGAGGAGTTGGACTTGGGTTTTTCCCTTCTCCCCGTTCAGTTAGGCTCTGCTAAAACAGAGTTGGTTAAGCTCCGGTAAAATAGCTTGCCTTAAAAGCAGGCTTTTGTTAAAGAGAACAAAGCACTCTTTTTAAATGGTTAATTTCCCCCTTCTCCTTCTGGATGNGAACAAAGCACTCTTTTTAAATGGTTAATTTCCCCCTTCTCCTTCTGGATGTATGAAGCGATTTTTCTTCCATATTCACCCTGAGAACCTGGTGAGGCTTCTGGACATAAAACTCAAAAATGTGGGGCCCCCCAGGCACATTATCTCCTAAACTAACCCAGGCCCAGTCTCTAGTAATTAGTCAGTTGCCCTTTCTACAAGGCTCCAGCTGCAGCTTCTGCTCCTAGTAAACTACAATTCTCTGTATTTTCCTGTCTCTCCAGGGTTGCAGTTACTGCATTTTTGGGGTTGCAGTTTTTCCTGTGAACTCAGTTCCCTGATATATCTAACACTTGTTTATTTTCAGTTTGTTCAACTTATTTTCTTTCTGTAAGAATAGCAGTGATGACTTCCAAGCTCTTCACACGTCAGACTGGCCAGGGGTTCTTTAAATAGGGAAGCTATTTATCTTTAAGTTGGAGATAAGGCCATGGCAAGAGTCTCTTACTTTACTTTATCCTCAGAGATGACACAGTGGAAAAGCTAACTTTCTTTACACCATCAGAGTTGAGCTCAGTACAGCTCATTCATGCTTCTTCTTCTTTTTTGACTGCACTATACAGCGTGTTGGACCTTAGTTCCCAACCAGGGGTTGAACCCGTGCCCCCTGCTTTGGGGGTGTGGAGTCTTAACCACTGTTGTTCTTAACTCTCAGTTTATATGTTATGTCTATAACCTTCTCCCATTCTCTTCTGTAATATTTGTTTATTGCTCTTAGTCTTAGTTTCTGAAGTGGCTCAAGCCAAATCTAAGATTTAAAAACTTCTGTTCCTTCAAAAATCTCCTAAAAGTTCCTTTTTTTCTTCAATAGTCCTTCATAGGGCATGGTTTCAAGTTTTTGTCCTTGGTTATTATTTATGATTTATTGTAGTTCAGGATTTTCCTGAGACTACGGGTCCTAGTAGTACATGATCCTCATAGTAATTTCCCCACATATATTTCTATGTGCACTTATTTTTTTCTTCTTTCTACAGACAGAAGAGGCTTTTTGCTGGAAATGAAAAGGCAGACTCGTCCTTCAACAGGAAACAGAGCCTTCCCTGGCAGTGAATGCCGGCCTAGTGTCTCACGTGTCTTGTGTGAGGGGTACTGAACAATACAATACCATCCTCAACAACATCGTCTGAGAGAATGTGGTCTCAAAATTAAAGTAATGTAATTGCCAGCTTTTGCTGCACAATGGGATGTTAGTGGATGTATGTGAGCTGTGCTGGCACAGTGGGGTTTGCCTCTGATGCACCAGAGTTTCTATGGAGAGTTTCCTCTGGGTGGCTGCTCCTCAAGCTTGGCCTCTGGACCTTACATGTGGAGCTGACCTTAATGCACAGCCTGGAGCCAAGCCCAACCAATTCATTGCCTGAAGCAGACAAAGCTGCCATGGAAGCCCAGCCCAGCTCATCTGATACATAGTTGACTTAAAGGTCAGTAAACATGAAAATACTTTTTATGTAAATCACTGAGTTTTAGGAGATGGGACCAGGCTGGTCAGTTGAGCATAAGAAACAAGCCCGCCTGTGCAAGCACGTGTCAATCATCTGCGCATATTTTAACCACTAACACACTGTTGGTCAAAGCAAGTCTCATGGCCAGGCCTGAAGTCAAGGGCTAGAGAAATACTCTGTCCATCATGAGGCCATGGTAAGAGTGTTGTCTTATCTGCTCAGAGTGCCTTAACAAAGTACTTAAACCGCAGACATTTATTTCTCACAGTTCTGGAATTTGGGAAGTCCAAGGTCAAAGTGCTGGTAAGGTTTCATTCTGGGGCTTCTTCTCCTACTAGTAGGTGATCACCGTCTCACTGTGTGTTCCCATGAATTTTCTTCAGCGCTGCATGTGGAAAGAGAGAGTGAGAATTCTTTCTCTCTTCCTCTTCCTATAAGGCCACAGTCCTATTGGATTAGGGACCTAATCCTACAGCCTTAATTACCTCCCAAAGACCCCATGTCCAAATACAGACATGTATTTGGCAAAGCTTCAAATATGAATTTTTAGGGGGCAAATCAGTCCATAGTAGGTGTCACCATAAATATTACCACAACGGATAAATAATTGGAACCATTAATTCAATCTGCAAAATTACTAATGATCTTTCCTTTTGCAAACTATATTCACACCCATTCCAAGATTCTTTCCCGCCCAAGTCTCATCTAATGACAGCATCAGCTCAAAGTCTAGATTTTCATGACTTTTCATCATGTCTGCTTAATCAGGACCTCTATAAACTAAGAAGCCAAGTTATCCTCCTCCCCAGCCCTTCACACCCTGTGTAGAATGAGAGCCCAGGGACAGGAAAACCACAATGAACACTTTGATTTGAAAGGAAGAGGAGTGAGAGGTTGAGCAGTCATAACCATAACAACTCTGGAAGCCCACTATGTAAATGTTGTCCCTTGGGTAGGCCCTGGATCTGCTCCTGGCAGTGACTCCAAAGTTTATCTTCTTCACCATTACGGCTCCAACACTCTGGGAGGTCCTTCACTTTCCATCATTCTCCTTAGCCTCTTCCAAGGCCAGAGGGGAACATGCCCATCTTGGTGGCAGAGTAAACTTCTCAACCTGCTTCCTGCCTTTAAACTACAAAAGACTTTATCTTTATAGATGCTTATATAGATCCTTATATTGTTATTGTTCAGCTGCCCAGCTGTGTCTGACTCTTTGAGACCCCATGGACTGTGGCACGCCAGGCCTCTCTGTCCCTCACCATCTCCCAAGTTTGCCCAAGTTTATGTCCACTGCATTGGTGATGTCATCCAGCCTTTTCATCCTCTGACACCCTCTTCTCCTCTGCCACCATCTCCTTTCCCAGCATCAGGGACTTTTCCAATGAGTCAGTTGTTCACATTAGATGACCAAAATGCTGGAGTTTCAATTTCAGCATCAGTCCTTCCAATGAGTATTCACGGTTGATTTCCCTTATGATTGACTGGTTTGATCTGCTTGCTGTCCAAGGGACACTCAGGAGTCTTCTCTAGAACCATAGTTCAAAGTTATCAATTCATCGGTGCTCTACCTTCTTTATGGGCCAGCTCTCACAACCGTACATGACCACTGGAAAGTCCATAGTCTTGACTACAGGGACCTTCGTTGGCAGAGTAAAGTTTCTGCTTTTCAACACATTCTCTAGGTTTGTTATAGCTTTCCTGCCAAGAAGCAAATGTCTTCTGATTTCATGGCTTGCAGTCACCATCTTCAGTGATCTTTCAGTCCAAGAAGAGGAAATCTGTCACTACTTCTACCTTTTCCCCCTCTGTTTGCCACAAAGCAATGGGGCCAGATGCCAAAATCTTAGTTTTTTTTTTTAATATTTAGTTTTAAGCCAGCTCTTTCACTCTCCTCCTTCACCCTCATCAAGAAGCTCTTTAGTTCCTCTTCACTTTCTGCCATTAGAGTAGTATCGTCCACATATCTGAGGTTGTTGATGTTTCTCCCACCTATCTTGATTCCAGTTTGTAACTCATCCAGCCTGGCATTTCTCACGAGTGCTCAGCATAATGGTTAAATAGACAGGGTGAGAACAGACAGCCCTGTTGTACTCCTTTCTTAACCTTGAACAAATCGGGTTTTCCATACAGGATTCTAACTGTTGCTTCTTATATAGTAATCATTATTTATAGATCCTTATACACTGTGAACACCCTCAAGGTTTTCTTTTTTTTTTTACCGTCTAGGTTTGTGAGGAACCTTTTGCCAATACAGCTCTCCTAAAAACTTTGTGAGTTTTCTAAGTATTTGATTACTATCTGCATTATGTGTCCAAAGACACAACTTCCATTCTTTGGGGGGAGATGGCTCTCTCTCTCTAGACACAGTTAAGGAAATTTAGGGTACTTCCAGCTTCTGGGCCAAGTTTTTTAATATTTCAAGTGGTCCTCTTGTGCAGCTGGGAAGATCTGCTCTATGATATTTTTGTCCTTTCCAAGGTCTTAAAAAGAGCCGTACTTTTGATTTAGATTTTTTTTTCTTGAGGTTCTATTTGAATATCCACTCCTGTGATTTGATGAGAAATAGTTTCTTTTCCCTAGTCTGCAATTTCTGTGACCTCTATATTCCTTCTAATCTCTGCCCAAAATCTGACCAGTTTTTTTCTCAGCTCATTTCAGAGCTGTCTTTGCTTTAGGGCTTTAAAATGTAGCTAGTAGCAGCTAGTTCACAGCCAAACAGTCCACCTTAAAACTTTGTCCTCCTTTCATTAGTTACATTATCTGCTTTTCAAGTAGATAGTTTTGTGAAATATTGAAAGTTTTATCAAGTATGTTACCACTACACATGTCATCATCTTCCAGCTTATAACAGTTTCTGGGCCACTTGCTTCCCAGTCCCAAATGTTTTTACATTTCTCTTGTAGCAGTAACCCACCTCTAGCTACAAGCTTCTTTATTAGTCAGCTTTTGCTATATTATATATACTCCAAAACTCAGTGTCTTAGAAAAACAAGTATTTATTGGAACTTCCCGGGTTGTTCAGTGGTTAAAATTCTTCACATCCACTTCAGGGGGTGCAGGTTATATCCCTGGCAGGGGAGCTAAGATCCCACATGTAGTATAAACAAAAAAAACAAAGCAAAACACAAAAAAGCTCAGGCATTTATTTTCATGCTCATGGGCCTGCCTGCCAACTGTTGTTTAGATGACCTTAGCTGGGCTGTAGGTGTGCTAAAGGTTGGCTGCATGTGTTTCCAGCTTGTTGGCTAGGCTCAGGTGTGCTCACGTGGGTTTGCTTTGGGTTCCAGATTGAAGGGGCTTCCCTGGTGGCTCATGGTAAAGAATTCACTTACCATTGCAGGAGATATGGGCTTGATCCCAGGGTTGGAAAGATCCCCTGCAGAAGGAAATGGCAACCCACTTCAGTATTCTTGCCTGGGAAATCCTATGGCCAGAGGAGCCTGGCGGGCTACAATCCATGGGGTCACAAAGAGTCAGACACAAGTTAGCAACTAAGCAACAAGAAACAGATTGAAGGAGCAGCAGCTATCAGAAGGAAACTCTTCCCGTGGGGGATCATAGAAACTCAGGAGGGCAAGACCCACTGGCGGAGAGCACTGTTCAAGTCTTCACTCCCTTACTAATATCCTGTTGGCCAAAGCAAGTCACGTGGCCGAGCCCAGCGTCACGGGGCAGAGAAACACACACCCTGCTGACCTCGAGGCCATAGCAAGGTGGGCATAAATCACCACAGGAGGATAAGCAATTGGGACTGATAACGTAATAATTGAGCACAATTCCTCTTTTCTAGTGGCTCAGACGGTAAAGAGTCAGCCTGCAATGTAGGAGACCCAGTTTGATCCCAGGGTCGGGAAGATACCCTGGAGAAGGGAATGGTAACTCACTCCAGTATTCTTGCTGGAATATCCCATGAACAGGAGGAGCCAGGTCAGCCCCAATCCATGGGGTCACAAAGAGTCGGACACGAGTGAGCAGCTAACACACACACTCAGCTGCCTTCCATCTGCTTTTCTGCTGACTCCCTGTTACTAGGAACCTGAACGATATGGTGTAAAGATATAGGGGTGAGAAGAAGCATCCTCTAATTCTCTGCTTAGGTCTCAGTCATTAATGAGCCCGTATTCTTGGGCTCTGACCTTCTCAGGTGTTTCTTGGCTTCCTACCCCTACACCCTTAAGGGAGACAATAAGAGGGGCCTGGAGCTGAGTATTGCCCTTCCCTTACATCAGTTGGGCTCTGGTAGTTTCTCAAGGGAAACAATTTTCCGTGAGAGCAGGATTTTGTTTAAAAACAAAAACAGAATGCTCTGGGCTTGTTTTCAAAAGCCTCTTTGTCCTCTCCCCTTGTCAGAAACATAAGGGAAATTTTCTCTAGTCTAGTCTTTACTCTGAGGACCTGATGGGGGTTCTGAAGGTAAAGTTTATGAAAGTTAGGGTTCCACTAAGACTGGACCCCTGGAATTTTTAACTTATGGCGGGTGTACACATAGCCACTAGCAAAGGTTTGTACCTACACCGGCTCTAGCATGGGCTCCTGCTTCCAGGAAACTTTCTCTGGGTTCACCCACCTCTTTGATTTTCAGTGTGGCTACTTGCCTTGTGACTTCAGCTTTCTCACAGGTCTAAGAAGCATTGTTGATTTTCAATTTGTTCAGCTTCTTTTCTTGGGAGGACAGGAATGACCACTTCCAAGCCCATTATATGTCAGAGCGAAACTGATTCTCTGATCAGGAAAAAAGAAGACTTTTACTCACAGGAAAGAATAAAAATCACTTGAAACTCTCATGACACACATGTAACTGCTAAATATGGTTGTTTCTTAGGAGAAGATGAGAGAATAACCTAGACATGTAACTCAGTAAAAGGAGTCAGGAACATCATAAATGGATGACATTTATTATTTCTCTCTTAGGTATCCAATCTGAGGTAGAGTGCATTTACAGATTTTGGAGGAGTTGTTGTTATTGTTAAGTCATTCAGTCATGTTCAACTCTTTGAGACTCCATGGATTGTAGCACGCCAGGCTTCCCTGTCCTTCACTATCTCCCAGAGTTTGCTCAAACCCATGTCCATTGAGTAGGTGATGCCATCCAACCATCTCATCCTTGGTCGTCCCCTTCTCCTCCTGCCCTCAATCTATCCCAGTATCAGGGTCTTTTCCAATNACCTCTGGTGCCTTTTCTAAGTCCAGCTTGTACATCTGGAAGTTCTTGGTTCATGTACTTTTGAAGCCTAGCTTGAAGGATTTTGAACATTACCTTGCTAGTATGTGAAATGAGTGCAATTGTGTGGTAGTTTGAACATTCTTTGTCATTGCCTTCCTTTGGGATTGGAATGAATACTGACCTTTTTCAATCCTGTGCCCGCTGCTGAGTTTTCCAAATTTGCTGGCATACGGAGTGCAGCACTTGAACAGCATCATCTTTTAGGATTTGAAAGAGCTCAACTGGAATTCCATCACCTCCACTAGCTTTGCTTGCAGTAATGCTTCCTAAGGCCCACCTGACTTTACACTTCAGGATGTCTGGCTCTAGTTTGGTGACCACACCATCGTGGTTATCTGGGTCATTAAGACCTTTTCTGTACAATTCTTCTGGGTATTCTTGCCACCTCTTGTTCTATTAGGTCCTTGACATCTTTGACCTTTATTGTGCTCATGAAGTATTCCCTTGGTGTCTCCAATTGTCTTGAAGAGATGTCTTGTCTCTCCCATCCTATTTTTTTCCTCTATTTCTTTGCCTTGTTTCTTTTGCTTAAGAACGCTTCTTATCTCTCCTTGCTCTTCTCTGAAACTCTGCATTCAGTTGGGTGTAGCTTTCCTTTCTCCTTTGCCTTTCGTGTCTTTTCTTTCCTCGGCTATCTGTAAGACCTCCTCAGAGAACCAATTTGCCTTCTTGCATTTCTTTTTCTTGGGAATGTTTTTGGTCACCACTTCTTGTATGGTGTTACAAACCTCTATATTTCTTCAGGCACTCTGTCTCAGATCTAATCCCTTAAATCTATTTGTCACCTCCAGTACATAATCATAAGGGATTTTATTTAGGTTGGATCAAATGGATGACTTACTGGTTTTCCCTCCTTCCTTCAACTTAAGCCTGAATTTTGCAGTAAGGAGCTGATGATCTGAGCCAGAGTCAGCTGCAGGTTTTATTTTTGCTGACTGGAGGAGTAGATGAAAACTAATTTGTTGATCGGTTTTCTCTGAATATAATTGCTACTGGCCTAACTCTTTCTAGGAGTTTGAAGGGAGATAATTTGCAAATGAGAGACAGAATTGCTTGTGTTTTATATCACCCACAGGAAAACTCCATGTGCTTTGGGATCCACATCAGCAGTGTGGGAAGGGTGAGGATGGGGGTTAGGAATTGACATTCAATGGCAATATTATAAAAATTAAGTGACCTGTACAGAAGGGCACCCATGGGCAAAAAAGGCCAGACTTTTATTTTTAAATGAAAGGCTTTTTCGATCTGCCTCAGCACATGCTTGGTGGTATCCTTAAAGTGCTTGACTTCAAGGATGATAGAGTAATTTTGACTTTGAAAATCTTTAAAGCAGGTGTTAATAATTGTCCTACAGAGAGTACAGAGAAACAGTAGTCCCATGAATTATCTATTGTTCTTTTCTATCAGCATAAAAGCATGTTACAGTATTTCTCAATAAAAGAAACAAACAAACAAACCACTCTTTACCTCATATCTCCCTCCATACACCTTTTTTTTTACTCTTTTACCACAAATCCCTTTGAGCTGTCTGTTCTCACTGTCTCCTTTGTCTCCACTTTCCTCTTAAACACCCTCCAACATTGTTTTCTCTCCTTCCCCAACATCCTTCTACTGCGGAACTTGTCAAGGTGATCAGTAAAGTCCACACTGCTATGATTAGGTCTCAGTCTTCTACTGAGCCTGTGCTCCTGGACTCTGATCTTCACAAGTGCTTTTCAGCTTCTCCCTCCTTCCCCCTTGTTGACATAAATTATTCACAACCTTATTGAGAGTTGTGTTTTATTCTGAGGGAATTTTCAGGACTTCAGTCACAGGAGGCAGCAACTCAAGTAACCCTGAGAGAACTGCTCTGAGGAGGTGAGTGGGGAACCAGGTTATACAGAAGCTCTGCAACGAAGCATAGGTAGTCTGAACGTCAAAAGATTATAGTTAATTGAAACCAGATATCCCAAGTTCAGGAGTTTAGCGCTTTCCTATGTATGGGAAGATGCAAGAATCTAGGCTCACTGAAATCATTCCTTCGATATGTACCTCAGCTATCTGGGGCTTGTACCCTATATTTTCACACCCTGAGTTTCCTCAGGGCTCACTAGCTCATGTTAGAGGGCTGCAATCACTGATGAATAATATGGCAGAAAACATCCTATTTCTCATCCTTAAGTGAGTCAGGAAGACAGGGCTGGAGTTGGTTATTTCCCTCTCCAATTCTCCATCTGCATCTTACTGAATTATGAGACATTGTTATATTACTATCCCCAAAGAGTCATGTGTCTGAGGATCACCCCCATGTGGTATTCTTCCACATAAACTCTGGACTGGCCATGGGCTTGTGTTGACCGATGAGACATCAACAAGTCTGAAGCAAGCATAAGTTTGATAAGCGTTTGCGCTTTGATACTGTCACTCTTGGAGCCCAGTTGCCAAGGAAACAAATCTGTGCTATCCTGCTGGAGAGGTGATGTGCAGGGTTATCAAGATATGGCAGCCCTAACTAACCTCCAGCTCTGTGACTGAGGCCACTGGGAAAGAGTCAGCTCCCAGCCATCCTGTTGTCTTGAGGCAGAAAGGTTGATGTCCCCCCTTCCCCAACCCATGGTAAAGCAATTGGAGATTCATTCTATATGGACTAAAACTCCAAGACGAGAATAGCAGGACAACTGAGGGAAAAGAATGGACCTTGCCCAGACCACATATTTCTCATTCCTGAAGTCAGGAGACCTCTCTGACCACACATGCACAGAAAGGCTCATTGGAGATCAAAGGGGGAGATGATGTCAAGGGATGCTCTACCCATACACCTGTTGGGTAAAATCCATCTTGGCTAAGAGATGCATTCACACACATGAAAGAATCATGACATATACTAAATATGGACTGTGATCTAGGCAAATCAAAAAGTTTGGCCAAAGGAGAACTGGAAGAAGTGCTCCATATAAATGATTTAAACTGCCATGAGGGCACAACTCAGGGACTCTCCCTCTGAGTCTGCCCGTGCGTCTATCCACACATGCTGTACTCTTTTTCCTCTTAATAAATATTTGCTTCATTATTTCCCATCTTTTTAGAAATTACTTTTTGCACATTCAAAAGAGTCACAGCCCTTGTCACTGACGACTGGTCTAGTGGCTAGGATCTGGTGTTTTCACTAC